GTAGTAGTAGTAGTAGTAGTAGTAGTAGTGGTGGTAGTAGTAGTAGTAGTACTGGTAGTACTGGTAGTAGTAGTAGTAGTAGTAGTAGTAGGAGGAGGAGGAGGAGGAGGAGGAGGAGTACTAGTAGTCGTAGTAGTGGTAGAGGTAGTTGTAGTGGTAGTGGTAGTGGTAGTGGTAGTGGGAGGAGCAGCAGGAGGAGGAGGAGGAGGAGGAGTAGTGGCAGTGGTAGTAGTAGTCTTGGTGGAGCTGTGGGAAATATTTCATTGAGTGGCTGCTTCTTGCCGGGTTGTGATGCTTGACTCACACAGCAGAGAAATCATTCAACATGTTACAAAAGGGCCAAAAAACAAGCAACATCATGTGTCTGAAATGTTTGTTTGTTTTTGAAACGCCGCCGTTATCTGTGGGCAGCCGAGGGGTGCCTTTGTGCAATTGAAGGGTGGCGGTTGTAGACTCGGCCTGATCTGCTGACCTCTCTACAAGCAGCCGGTGGCCCTTCAGAACAGGCAACTAGCCCTTCAGTTCACTCGGAACCCTCGTCTGTGCGCCCCGGTTCCTGTGTACCAACGTGTATTCGCATGCATACGTACATGCAGACATACTTGGAGACATACAGACATGTAGACATACGTGCATACCGCATTCATGCATACGTACATACGTACATACACACATACACACATACACACATACACACATACACACATACATACATACATACATACATACATACATACATACATACATACATAACAAGGGTGTGAGATATTGGCGTTCCGTCGTGATGGTCGTTATCATCATGACAGTAGCTGTTGAACCTGTCGAGTAGGATCTGCATCATCATCATCATCATCAGCAGCAGCAGCGGTGTCGGTGATTGTACATACAGCGCCAGTCTTGGCTATCATCATGATGTCAGCGGCGACACGGCGACAGTTGCATGCACACGAGAATGGCTGTTGTATTGGTCACTGTTCTCATTCCGCTACAGGCTACAATCACACCACAACGACAATGACACAGCGGATACGTCATCCTTTGTGGGGTGTCTTTGTGCAGCAGCTGAGCGACGATTGCTGCCTAGTACTCAGGAATGATGTGTACTTCTCGAGCAGCAAATCCAAGTGGGCGTGCGAAGCTCAGCCAACAACAACAAAGACGCACAACTTGGTGCAAAAAAGAGGACACTCCGTTTCTGCACGAAGCTTGGTCGACCAAGGTGTCTCGTCCGATGCGTGTGGGGAGCTCATTAGTCGTTTCTGGGCCACGGCCCAGGGTTGAAGCTTCCCCTGTATTGAGGCGGTGCTTCTGTTGCTGTTGTCGCGGACGCCAGCGGGACTGATGCTTGCGAAAGTAGTCGATACTTCCATCTAAACCTTAAGCCCTTGATGCTCTCTGTGGCGGTCTTATGAGAGATACAGCCGATGTTAGCATAGCGAGACACATCATGCGATATCGTAGGGAGACAGTTTAGCTGCTGCCGGTGATCCTCTCCAAGAGAGGTTTAAAGACCTGGGCAGCTGCAGCAAGCATGCGAATTGGTCAGTTAAAGTCGTTTAAGTCTGTGAAGTCACAGACGTTGTCCCAAGCACCACCAGCTCAGCTAAAGAGCAGTTAAACCAGTAGAGGCATAGAGGTCCTTGCAATATAACCTCAGAGATCCCGCGTTTCGCACATGAACGCTCGAAAGCGGTGCCATTTGCATTCTCGCCGAATGCTCGCAAGACGTTTCACAAAGATTGGTGAGCCCAAGCAAAAGATTCGGGTCGAACCGCCGTTTTTGCACGAATGTAACGTGATTGATGTCATCGAAGCAAATTGCCAACAGCCTGGGTGATGTCGATACTGCAAACAAGGGCCTGTACATCATGACTGTTGCTAGAATCATCATCACTATCAATATCGTCATCATAATGCCGCAACGGCACGCCGCTGGCCCAAGAAAAGAGCTCCACCTGTGAAGTTTTTGGGCGGATTCCCGGTCATTGAGATCCTTGGCAGAAAGTAGCAGGGTTTAGGGGGTTTAGGGGCTTTGGGCGTTTATAGGGGGTTTAGGGTTTATAGGGGTTTAGGCTTTACGGGGTTTAGGGCTTTAGGGTTTAGGGCTTTAGGGTTTAGGGGTTTAGGGATTAGGAGGCGAGTTTTCAAGGTCCAGGCAGGTTTGTTGCTTTGCCGCGAACCTTCGTGATCAAGAGACCAAGGCCATGATGCGGCTCAGATCGAGATTGGGCTCCTTGCCTTGGACTCTATCCGCCAGCCTTGGAGCAAGCACATGGAGACTCAGAGTTACAGACGGGACGACTTGTCGAACTCCTTGATTCGAGCATGCATGCTCGCGACCGGATTTGGATTTGCTAGACTGACTACTGATACTTGGTCTAGCAATCTCCTTCCTAGTCCTGCCTCTCCACTGTGCTGCTACACAGACCTGCCAAGTCGGCCAATCTTCCTAGGGCTTACAGTCCTGCTGTTGTCAAAACTGAAGGTGCGATTTGCGGACTCGTGGCGCTGACGTTTTTCCAGGCGCTGTCGTTGCATGGAGGACTGGCGTTGGGTCGAGCGAAACACCAAAAACACTTGGGGGTTTCCGAAAATAGGGGACCCTTATATAGTACCCTAAATAGTAGGATCCTTATGATAAGAACCCCAAAATAAGGTACCCCTTATTTTCGGAAACTCACACTTCAAGCCCCTCTGAGCGTCCCAGAGCCTGCTGTCCAGCAGTAGCTAGTAGGATCCTCATGTTACGACAGACCCTTGCGTCAGCTACGGCTAATCTTAAACTCCCTAAACCCTAATCCCTCAACCCCTAAGCCCTAAGCCACTAAACCCTAATCCCTAAACCCGAATCCCTAACCCCTGAAAAACCCCTAAACCCTAATCCCTAAACCTAAGCCCCTAAACCCTAAACCTAAGCCCCTAAACCCCTAAACCCCTAAACCCTGAACCTAAGCCCCTAAGCCCCTAAACCTAAGCCCCTAAACCCTAAACCCTAAACCTAAGCCCCTAAACCCCTAAGCCCCTAATCCCTAAACCTATGACTGCCACTAACTCTGAGCCGGCTGCTGTGCCCTTCTATAGTACCCTAAATAGTAGGATCCTTATGATAAGGACCCCAAAATCTATACCCTAAACCCTAACCCTCAAACCCTAAACCCTACACCCTAAGCCCCAAAGGTCCCTTAAAGGATCCCTTGTAGGAACCCCCCCAAAACCCCAAAAGAAGGTACCCCTTATGAGCCGGCTGCTGTGCCGAAGGACCGGCCTTCACTGGCCTCCGAGTGAGCGCGTCATCCATTGCGAGACATGCTCGCTGCTGAGTTGGGTATTTAGGGTTTAGGGGTTTAGGGGTTGAGGGGTTTAGGGTTTAGGGTTTTTTCACTTGGTGACGCCGTGTGCAAGGGCAGTAGCGGTAGGAATACTACCTTACTGAATACAAGGAAGTAATGCGACAAGTAACATGATAAAACCCGTCGCCTCCCCCCCAAAAAAACACACACCAAAAATAAGCACAACTCGAAGCTACCCCTGAACCCAACAAGCCCGAAGCGCCTGCGACCCCGAATAGTTGAAACGCAATAATAAACCCTATCCAAAATCGCGCCAAGACCCCAAAGCTACGAAAATGCTGAACACCCCACACTCTGAATCCCTAAAGCCCTTAACCCTAAACCCTAAACCCCTAAACTCTGAGCCCTAAACCCCGAACCCGACTCCTAGGCAGCCGGCGACGACTTCGATTTCGGAGACATTCCAAGCGGATCAAAGCCTCCAAAGTCTGCGCCAGCTCAGGTCTGGCTGTTTAGGGCTTTTGGGGTTTAGGGCTTTAGGGCTTTAGGCGTTTAGGGCTCAGGGTTGAGGGCTTTAGGGCTCAGGGTTGAGGGCTTTAGGGGTTTAGGGTTTTGGGCTTTTGGGCTTTAGGGTTTAGGGTTCAGGTTTGAGGGCTTTAGGGTTTAGGGATTAGGGTTCAGGGTTGAGGGCTTTAGGGTTTAGGCTTTAGGCTTTAGCTTGGGTTTGGGTCCTCCTTAAACGGACACCTCGCCTGCAGGCCTATGAGAATCCCGGTGATGTCGGGTTTCGGGATTTGGGCCTTGAGGTTGTTTTGGAGGGTTTTGTTTGGGTATCCGGGTATCACGACTTGGGGGTTCTTGAATAAGAAGGCCCCTGGCACTTCCGGGGTACAATGACGGTCGGTAGGGTTGCGGTGCAGAGGTTTGGGGTGTCAAGGGCTAGGGTGGGGGGGTACAGATTTTGATGTGGGGCGGTTAGGGGTTTTACATAGGATCTAGCGTTTAGGGTTTAGGGGGAACGCAGGCCATCAATCAACCAGTGGGCGTTTCCTGCAGTCCGAACTGTGCTGCTACACTGCCTTGAGAAGATTAACGGGCTTCTCGCTTGGTACCCTAAACCCTAAACCCTAAATCCAGGTAAGTTCATCAATTCTTTTGCTGCCGCTGTTGCCGCCACTCCCACAGTCGATCATTACTGAACTGACTGCTTCTACACTGCCGATGGTGGTAGCTGGCCACATTCATCAGGACACTGCTTCGAGCCCCGTGTAAGAGTCTCGATGACCAGATTTGATCACACATGCCCCAAACTTAACCCCAAACCCCTGAACCCCAAACTTGCAAACGATTGCATGAGGGAGCGTGTGTTGCTTCCTCCAGTTTAGCCAAAACAGGAAAGCAATGCACGGGATTCCTAGAGCCCTTTCAAAAGAGGACATCTTGACAGAGTATCACCCCCCCCCTTAAAGTGAACCACGATCTCTACAGATAAGTTGTGGAAGTTTCAGAATTTAAGGGGATCCAAACATAGACCCCAAAATCCCCAAAACTCTGGGATGCCCAAGCCAAGGATCCCGGATACTAAGGCAGGCCCCACCACACACGTAGAAGCCTGAACAATAGGTAATACGAGTCATAACGGCATAGGGCTCCTGTTCAAATATATATATATATGTACATATCTATATATATATATAAATACACATGTACGCATTGTTGTTTGTTTATCTGTGTATTGGTGTTTCTAGAGTTATCGTACAGACAAGCCCAAAACCCTATCCCCGCTGAGAATTACCCCGGCTGCCGGAAGAGGGATCCCGAGAAGCCGCACCGCTCGTGCAGGCCGTCACCAGCCGAGCAGGCCCCTGCGCGGTTAACATAGAGGCATCTACCTACCTACCTACCTACCTACCTACCTACCTACCTATCTCTGTATCTGCGTGTGTGTCTATGTACCTTCCAATTTATCTAGCGTTCTTATCTATCTTGTTTATCTTATCTATCTTATCTATCCTATCTATCCTATCCCATCCTTTCTTCTCCCATCCATCCATCCATCCATCCATCCATCCATCCATCTATTTATCTATCCATCTATCTAGCTAGCTATCTATCTAATCTGTCCAATCTATCTATCTGATCTATCTATCTATCTATCTATTTATCTATCTATCTATATGCATACATATACATCTATGTGCACATACATATACCTATATAGAGTCCTATAGAGAGACTGGCCTAATGACTAAGTAACAGTAACGATATTCCCTCAAGGCCCCTGGAATGCTTTTAGCATTAATCAAGCCCGAAACCTTGTTCTAATTCTTAGGACCCCCCAAGCACTGGCACCCTCTTGCATCGCCAAGCTAGTAGGGTTTATATAGCTCGGAGTTACAGTCAAGTTGCGGCTTGCGTAGCATTTGGCCTTTTGGAGGTGGGGTGCAGAATCTGATTTTCGGGCAACCGGGGCTGGATGTCAGACATGCTCGACTGCAGGCTCATCGGAGGATGACGATGACAATGATTACTTTGACGATGACGATGACGAGGAGGACACAGCCGGGGCTTCGCTGCTCAAGAGTTTCCTGTCGAGTCAGTGCTGCGCGTGGCTTTAAAGCAAGCCACGCAGTCACAGTCGCTGTTTTGCAAAGCTGTTGAGCATTCCCTCTGCATGGGATGGTAGACAGATAGAGATGCAGAAATCGTGCAGTATCAGCGGGACGAGCCCGACATGGGAAGCGCCGCTTGAAGTGAAGCATCCGAGACGGGCGGCTTCAGAGTTTCGGCGCTTTAGGGCGTGGGCTTAGATCTAAGCTCCCACAATAGACCCGTTTCTAATCGGGTTTAAGACATGGACCTTGCTAGTAAGCAGCTGAGCAGCTCAACATGACCTTGAAAAAGAAGTCGGGCCATAAGCCCGAAGCCTCTGATGCAAATGGCACCTCCAGGGTCTTGAATTGAAGTGGCGTGGGCTGATCTTGAACAACTTGTTACATGCGATGAGGGCACAACTGATGGCGGAGCAGACGAGCAGGGGAGGTTCTGAGTGAGCACCTGAGTGTAAGCAGGGTTTGCCGGCACACTGCCTTCCGCGAATTGCGGATTTTGGAGGCTAGAACATAGCGGACGAGAAACCCTAAACCCCTAAACCCTAAACTTTATTCCCAAACTACTAAAGGTGTTCAAAAACAAAACCGAAAGCCACCCCCCTGAAGCCTCAAAGCCTAAACGGTAGGAACCCTTGTAGAACCCTTCACTAGATAGATAACCCTTCTAGAACCCCCAATCGTAACCCTAGGCCCTTTTAGAACCCTGAATTGTAACCCTATAAACCCTAAGCCCTGAATCTTAATAGTAGATGATAGCCCTTTAATTGGGGAACCTGATGCCTGAACCCTTAGCAGCATAGCTAACCTTTTTCGGACCCATAATAGCATCTCTTTGCAGAACTTTAAGCTTAAACCCCAAAACCCTAAGCCCCAAACCCTAGAACCCTAAGCCCTAACCCCTGAACCCTAAACCCTAAAACCCTGAGCCCTCAACCCCAAACCCTAAACCCTAAACCCCAAACCCCCAAACCCCGAAACCCCGAAACCCTGAGCCCTAAACCCTGAACCTCTACGCCCTGAGCCCGAGGTTGCCCCATTTGTGAGCTTCGCCCTCCTCGCTCTGGGGCTCCTTGGGCTGCACCTTTTGACTTCGGTTTTCCACCCTCCGGAAGAAAGAGCACCGAAGTTTCGGCCTTGGGATGTACCTAAACCCCCAAAAGTAGGTAAAAGAATGGCCCGAAACCCATAAAAGGCTATTGTTCTACATACTTTGGGGGTCCAGGTAAGGGTTTTAGGGATTGGGATGATGGGCTTGGCTTTTGGTGTTGTAGGGCTCAGGTTTTAGGGCTCGGGCTTGGGAGGCCTATATTTTAGGATTTAGGGTCTGGTGGGGTTCATGATTTTGGGTTTGGGGCTGCTATTTGTTGTCCAGAAATAAGAAGCATGCACGATAGTCAGAAGAGTGATTTCTGCTGTTGTTGCTACCTGCTACTCACTACTACGACTACATATCGTACCTTTTGTATTTGACAAGAGCCGTAATGCCAGCCGCGATGACAACAGCATTCGACAAGCGACAAGCAATGCTCCTGCTCAGCACAAGAAGCATGATGTGAGACCTGAGTGCTCCTACTACTAGCACGTGCCCCTTAGTAACCAGGTCCATCGGATTTATCGCGTTCCAGGCAGGGACGGTTTGGGCCGTCAGACTAGGGAGGGGTAAAAGTCGCCAGATACATGAAGAAGCTTCGACAATCCACGTCCCTGAGCAGGTTAGTGCGTGACTCAGCAGAAGGTTCAGATCCTTGGGAGCGCCTTTTCGATGTCAAAAGTCGTAGCATTGCGACTTTTTGGTACTTTTTTGGCCTCCTTCATCTCAGGCAAAATCAGGCTTTTTCTGGGAGCAAAAATGCTCCGAAGATCCAGAAGGTTCAGGCCGGCTGGGCGATGAAGGGCCTGCGATTTTTTTGTTTGGGGCGATGAGAGCATTTTGCCAGGCCGCCTACAGCACCTACTTCGCGGATGGGGAAGCGCCGACACCTGTCAGTTAGTGGGAAGAGATACTTTAACCTCCTGGAAGCATCCTTACGTGCTTCCGCAGCCGCAAGTTCACGGGCAAGCTTGGTTGATCGCGCCTCCGTTTGATGGGCTTCACGGGTGCTTTGCCCACCCCGCGGCAGATCACTTTGAAGATATATCTGACGCTTGCATTAGGCTCTCCGGCATTTGATGCGAGCGGCCGCAAAAGACGCAGAGCAGCCTTCCTGGTTCCGCATTTGGAAGTTGGAACCGCAGGAAAGCGAATGCTCAAACCAGGCTTATTGAACCATGAGTTAACACGGCTGTGATTATGCTAGTGTGCCCAAGTTGCTTGCACGCATACTGGAAGATTTGGAAGACCAGCGAATCGTACGAAATACAAACACAGTGAAATGGATGTGCCATTCTTGAGTTGGTTGTGCAGAGCAAAAGCACAGCGAGGTAACTATGAAGTAGCAGCAACTCGGGAACAGAAGCCTTTGAGAAAGGGAGAAAATGCATGATCTCGAGCGGTGGTCGGAATTGAAACTGGGGGTTACCAGTTGGCCGCCAATGCTCTAAACTATCTCAATGTATGTCCTCTGCAGAAACACAGTGCTTGAAATCGGACAACGCCACTGTAAGGCTTACGAGAGTGACTGCGACGGTCATCATTTGCAGAGCAAACGAGAGTCACAAGAACAGCAATGCTACTCGCTTTCATGACAAATGTTGCTGAAGGTTTCAAGTGTTTTTTAACATATCAGGCTTTACAGAATTGCATTGCGGCATAACTGCATACTCTGTTTTTGCACCGCAGATAACGCTTCGGCTTTTGAACTGTCGTTGTTGTGTCATAGCCATACCCATGGTTGGTCTCTTTGCTTCTTGTTCTTGTCATGACGACCTGTGCCCCTACGAGCCCTTTGGTGTGGGAACATCGGATGGGCGTCCTTTTCTTATCTGTCTCGATCAGGGAGCATCCATGTTAACTCTTGGTTTCGAAACCCTACACACCCAATCCCTCTGAGATACAATGAGCGTGAGATAACCGGTGGAAAATCTTTGGCTCTGTAGACCAGTGCGCTGGTAGATGATTCACTTGGTCGCCAGTTGCAAAAAAGCTGGCTTTCCAGGCGGGCTGTGGTAGGAACGTCGAGCATGCATGTCCGTCGTCGTTGCGGGACGTGTGTTGCGCTGGCAGGTCGAGAAGTTGAACCATGGCTCGTGCATGGCCCAGCAGTACTGTAAGGGTTGTTTTACATATTTTAATTCTATCATGTGTACATTATGTCTTGTATATGATAGTCACACTGGCTTGGGAACCCGCTGCAAGGTCGGCCATGAAGTGCATGCTGATCAGATGTGCGCTCATCCTTCTGCACCTTGCTCCTCGGCTTTGGAGCAGTATATGCCTTTCGAAGGGCTTCGATGAGTGGACAAACAAGATCTTGCTCAAGTCTGTCATTCCGAAGCAGTTCCGCCCTTCGTTTCACCATACAGGATTCTTCACTGAGCTTGAACTGTCAGGCGTGCGTGGAAGGATGGGTGCTCGTGTCAAAGGAGGGGAGGATCACGCTGCTTGGAGGACTCGATGTTGGCCAGGCCCACAGATTTTTCTCTTGATCGACGGTCGCGTCCGAGCAATGTAGGATGTTCATGTATTTATGCTTGAATGTGTGTATATACATATACACACTGCTATGTTTATGTCCATTCCCATGTCGATGCCTATATATCCATGTCTGTGTCTGTGCATATGCAAGTGCAAGTGTGTGCATGCAAACATGTATGTGTATTCTTGTGTAGACACACATACATATTCGTCTATAACATATATAGATATATGTGTATATATATATACATACATACATACATACACTCGTATATACGTATATATATATATACATATAGTATTCATATACGGATTGCATGTCGACCTGGCGCCTGAGACCCGACCAAAACGGGCATGGAACCTTCCATCATCTTCAGAAGACAAGGAGCCCAGACCTCAGTCGGTTTAGGATTTAGGGGTTTAGAGGTTTAGGGTGTACGACTTTAGGGTTAGAGGGTTTAGAGGTGTAGGGTTCGAGGGTCTAGGGTTAGAGGGTTTAGGGTTTAGGCTGTTTCACAATTCTCAGTTTGCCGAGTCATTTTATCTTGCTGGTGGCAAGCGAGCGGCTCTGCTCTGCCGAAGAACTGCTTAGGTTCGCCAATGGGAGGCAAGATATAGCAACCTGTCCGCAAGTAGAACCTATCTGCTTGCTCACTCTCCCCCTCACTCTGACTCCCTCTTCTCTTTCTCTGTGCGCTCCTCTGCCTTTTCAAGTGCTTTTGTTTCTCGCCCTAACCCCCTCTGTCTTATAGGAGTGGGATCTCCGCGCAGGCAGGCACAGTCCCCCATTTCGAATCTAGGAGGTCATGTAATGATCAGAAGAGGGTCCTGGGACATTATGCCCCAAGGCCCAAGAACCTCTTCTGATTATTAAATGACTGCTGTGAGGAGCCCTAAGAGAGAATCGCAACTCCAGATGTCCCATGATGACTGCGACCAGGTGCAAGCCAGATAAACGGGATCCCTGGCAAGTTCATCCTGGCCAACAAGGAGAGCATCAGAGTATACTACAATCTACTATTATACATATACATACATGTGTATATGCGTGTGTGTGTGTGTTGACATATATAGGTACACACACATATGTATATATATATATATATTTCTTAGAGACCCTTATCATAACTATCCTATTATCTACTATATGCGGACCTAAGGAGAGCACAATTTCGGGTTTGGTGTTTAGGATTATTCATTCATACCAATATTGCTACCTTTGCCAATAGTATTCCTGAGGGTCTCGTCACGGTTTTACTATATAATGTACTGTAATATACTTTGGTGATACTGCGTCGCTTGCAAGATGCAGTCGTCTTGAGTGTCTGTATTTTTGCTCGTCTTCTTCTTCTTATGCTTCTGCTGCTGCTTCTTTTCTGTCTCGTTGTCACGAGATGAGTTCATTTCAGCAAGGTTTTCTCTCAACATTGTCGCTTGTGCTGGTGTTCCAGGCATGCCATGACGTGATTTCTGTGACTTCGTTGGTTGATGATTAGTGCTCCTACAGGCCAGCAGAGCAACAAGAAGCCAAGCGCCCAGCCGAATCCCAAAGCCATCCCAAACAGCGGGTGTGGTTGAAGTCCAACGCAGAACCTTCATGTCCCTGTCTTGCAGGACTCGACGAGCGTGCGATACTAAGTCGTGCATCGAGTGCTGTCTGTGCTGAGCATCGGCAGAAGTACATTAACAATCACGCATGCACAACCGGAATCGAAATCAGAAAGGGGCTCCATGAAAGCAGCAGAAGGGGCAATTGCGAGAAGACAGGCGATACCGTCGCAGGCTTGGGTGCGAGGGTTGGAAGAATGCGTTGGTACATTTTGGAATTCTATAGTCCATGGTACTCTGATAGTTTAGGCATTCAATACCACAGTCACGGCAGCCATGAGGATCATGATGCCGGCCGTGGTGGTTTTTGATGATTGTCAGCACGACCACCACCGTCACCGCCGTGCAAAAGCAAAGGAACTTACGATGGAACAAGCGATAGCCGAACGGTGAGCGTGCAGCTAAATCGAGTACCGTCATCATAAGCCCTGAACCCTAAACACAACCCTAAACTCTAAACCCAAAGCCCTAAACCCTAAACTCTGCACATGGCAGTGGCATCATATGCAGGAGGCTCGTATGTGTGACACAAGTCGAGTCATCGCAGCAAGGATCGCAGGGAAGGTCTTAATAAACGTATTATTTTATTATACAATATAGTACGTTAATACACTGTGACAGTTGGATGTCCAGATGTCGGTTGGTGCAGAGGTGCAATGCGACCCCAAACTGCACAGTGACCTGAACTCTTGAAGCAGAGAACGCGGAACCCGCAATATACTAGAATATACTATAATGGTTTAGGGTTTTGGGTTTTGGGGGGTTAGGGTTTAGGGTTTAGGTTATTGTTAATGTACTTAAGATACTATACCATACTAGGCAACGGGTAACCCCTTCAGAAAGCGGGACAAGAGTTTAAGCTGCTATAGCTCCGAAGAAGCTCACGAGTGACTTGAGGTCTTCACCATCGATGATGATGGGCAGACACACGTCCTTGGCAACTTGCTTCCATTTCAATGACTTGGGGCAGAAATGCGTTGGCAGATTGAGGGCGGTGTCGATGTCGAAGTAGAGCAGCCCTCGCAGTGAGAACATGGAATGGTGCATGGCTTTGGAACCTACATCTTCCTGAATCTTAAACCGAGCCGGTAAGTAAGCAACGAGTGGTGTGACTGCACTTTCGTGTGCGCATCTATGGAGGTGAATCGGATCATGCGTGAGAAAGTCCATCACACATTTAAAACAAAACCTAAAGACGAGAGTTTCTGAACTTTTCCCAGGCAGTTCTATGATCGTGGGCAGGCCAGGTGCCAACGAGCCGGGCACCTTGTTGTCGGGCAGCGTGCAGGTGCACCTTTGAGATTCGCCTTCTCCCTTCGACGTGGTCGGTATTGCTGAACGCTACTACTGTAGGGGCCTAAATAATCACCAATACTATTTTGGGGGTTCCTTTTTATGATTATATTAACATGGGACCCAAAAACCTGTTCTAATTATGAAGGCCCCTATATTGGCCCTGGGTTTCTTCCTGTGTTATCTCTATTACCAGTTGCTTGTTTCGCTAGAATGCTCGCGTATGTTTACCAGGTTTCTAGTTGTTAGTGCTCACAACTCGGTGTCTGAAGTACTGTTATATAGTTCATAGTCGTAGTCTAAACCCTAAACCCTGAACCCTAAATCCTAGTCTTCTTTCTACGCAGTCATCCAAAAGGCCCTTTAAAAAAAGTCTTCTTGGTCAATGTCGTCGTCTCCTCCTCGAGGTCGCCGTCGCAGTGTCGCGTCATCGTACAATGGCAGAAGCAGGTGCTGCAGTAGTAGTAGTAGTAGTAGTAGTAGTAGTAGTAGTAGTCGTAGTAGTCGTAGTAGTCG